TCCTCCCGATGTGCTGTTTTGCAAATATATGATCAATATTTGCGGCTGGTCAATTGTGGATGCCGAGTTGAAAAAATCAGAAGAAAAAGCTATCCCTGAATAGCTATATTGTCTGTATCCTACTGGCAGTTTACTCACTGAACTTTTCTTAGACATAACTGATCTGAGATTTACCAGCTGCAAATGTTGCACTCGGTGATCTTTGCAAATCAGAAGTCATAATTAATGGAACAAATTTGTTTTGCAAAATATTGCATTTATAACCCCCTCTCCTTCATTGTTGACTTATTCTGCCCTGGAGTGCTATATCCACATATTCATTTTATTGCCTTTATTTGGGGGATTGAGTTTGGAAGATCAAGTGCCGAAGGTAATGCAATTGCAATGTTCACCGATTACCTGTCTTACTAACATCTCGTAATATCAACAATAGTACGATACCTTTAATGTTAAATATCTCAAAGTACTTTACAAATAATTGCTGTCAAGTAAAGTGATTGCATAGTTTGGTTAGGTAAACATGGGAACCAATGCAGAGAAGTCGCCCAAATAGCCAGTGGGAGAATAATCAATTATGTGTAAGATTATTGCTCAAGACACCAAAAAAACTCTTCTCTTTTTGAATGGTGTCATTATATTGTTAATGGCAGACCAGGCATATGGAACTGTGGTTTAATATCTCATCCAAAATATGGCTCCTCTGATAACATCAGGCTCCACCAGCACCCCATTGAAGTGTTAAATAATAATAACAATCCTTGCATTTTAAATCTGACACCTCATCCTACTTACATTGTGGAGATTTAAAAGAAATCTATCAAGGTAGTGATGTTAAAATTGGGTGCGTCTTCCACAGTGGCCGAGATACAGAGTCAGGGAATCAGGAGTCGTGTCTGAGCCGACGAGAGCTAAGCATTTCCACCACCTACAGCCTAGTCCTGTTCCTCAGGCAGTGTTTTGTATTGTGACATTTGTTATAAGCTCTCACGACACATGATTCACTCCAAATTAAACTGGAATGAAGTGGAGCCAACTGGATTTTCACGCAGCCAATTGGGTGCGTCGGACAAGCTTTCATTCTGTTTTATTTCAGTAGGAAACATTCAGAGGGATAATGACACTACTAAATACTTTGATTATAAAAACAAATCCTTTGCTGAGAATAAATACAGAAATACTACTTAGACAAAGGAAGGGTAGTCATTGTACTGGACATTTTTTTTGCCACATGATTTACTTAATGAAAGTGAATTATGCAAATTCAGATCACTACAGGTTTGTGATTTACAATTGCAAACTGCTAGAAAAAAATGTGTTACATCTGCTGCTCATGTTACTAACGCAGTTAAGACCTGACTTTGGAGTTTGGCAACTCTCCTCCTCTTTCATTAGTACTGTTATGCCAAGATAGACCCTTTGCTTATTGGTCAAAAAGTATCATTAGCACAGTAGCAACAAGAAATCTATGATTCGTTTTTAGTTTCTTTCTTTTCAATTTTGTTTCATTCCTTTGTTCTCAATAATAATAATCCTTGCATTTGATATAGCGCCTTTTACATTGGAAAACACATCTGAGCACTTCACAGGATTTACTGTAGTTTAGTGTAGTGACTGCGTATACAGGATTCCTGTAGATTAGTGGTCAGAGCACTCAACTCACAAGCGAGAGGACCTGGGTTCAATTCCTGGGCAGGGCGAAACGTTAGGCAAGTTTCCTTATTCCACTTGCCTGTTTACCTAGCGGTACGTATGAACTTAGTTGTTAGTCGAATAGGGGATCGCTTTTCTGGGGGTAATAATCTGTTCAAAATAATATAATAAATTGGTCATTGAATCCATGACTGCTTGTGGGAACCGCTGTGCACAATTGGCTGCCGCGTTTCACCGACAAAATAAAGTAAATTCACTTTACAGTATATTCTGTGAAGCGTTTTGAGACGTCTCGAAGACGTGATAAGGCGCTATATCAAATGCAAACGATTATTATTATTTTATGGGTGAACACAATATCCATAATTGATGCAAAATAAGGGTCGGGGTTGGAAGAATTTGAAGTGAATTGGTCACAAAATGTAAGTTCTGCTTTCAGTAAAGGAGCAAATAACAAGGGGGCAGTTTTTGCTTTGATTAACATACAAATTATATATAGGATATTAATTATGCAATATTAACTAGTTTATTCATGAAATGCGAACTATGGCAGCAGAAATTAATCCAAGTCTCTCCTGTTGTTAAGAACAAACTTTGTTTGTGCACAATGTATCATAGTAACAGGTTTGCTACGTGTGTGGGTGTGGAGCACACAACACAACCCATTAATAAAAGCAGTACAATTATTGATCTTGTATGGTGCTATTATTTCTGAACCAAACATTTTAAAACAAAATCAAACTGGTAAAAATGTATTTTTACACAACACCTTGTGTGTTACGTTTTACTGTCCTTTTGCGTTCTCTTTTCTCCTGCATTGTGAATGTCCTCCCAATGTAAAAGGCGCTTTATAACTGCAATTTGTCGTCGTTGTTGTGAACACTGTAGGTAGGATCCAGTAATACATCTACCACACCTGTGCCACTTTCAGAAGCAGACTGATTGCAGCTGGAACACTTCCAGTAACTCATGATGAGACATATTTATACTTGTGCTACTTGTACATAAGCAGTCTGGATTTCATCCTCTGAATTTCTCTCCCACCACTCATGCCTTTGTAATTTAAGTTGCAAGCTGAAAAAGTTCTAGGGCGATTAGTTGACTTATCGCTCACTAAATCAAAACAGTGTGAACACCAATAAACAAGACAAACATGATGCTGTGTTATATTGCCAAATCTATGTAGTCTATTCTCCTGGAAGGAGGGAGGAGGGAACTGGAGTCTCCTTGAACTGGCAACAGCACTTTAGAATAAGTCAATCCTCAACAGGCTGATCTGAGTAGTCTGGTTCCTGAGCAGTTTTCTAGGGCAATGCTGGTGACAGACCAGCCTGCCGAGCTTATTGTTAACACTTAGAAGGGCAAACTGGAGGCATGGGTTATTGCCACTCAGCTCCTGTTAACCTTGCAAGCCAAAGCCCTACCCAGATAAGCAGCTGGGTCACACGCACTCTGGGGTCCCAAGCATTGGTCTTTACTCTTCAGATTTACAGGGTGCTGTATGGTGAGAGGGTCATACTCCATCCAGATATTGCTATATATAGATATGAAAGGCAAAATACTACAGTTGCTGGAAACCTGAAATAAAAACAGAAGTCACTGAGAACACTCAGCAGGTCAGGCAGCATCTATGGAGAGTGGAAAGTGAGCTAATGTTTCAGGTCGATGACCTTTCGTCAGAACTCATTAAAAACAACTTGATGCTGTGATGGGATGATGGGTCTCCTGAAAAGATGAGATCAAATGGGCCAAAGGGCCTTCATCCAAACCTTTCTTATAATCTTGTGAACACTTCAACAGGCACATGACTTAAGCCAGCTACGAGAATTTTTTTTTGTCATAAAAGTATTGACTTCCTCATTATTTACTCATTAAAAACAACCATTGGGAAGAAACATTTCAAAGCCCAAAACTAATACATCGTATGCACTGTGTTACATACAAAAAAAACCTTTAATCAATCAATCTCAATTTATAATAATAATCCTTTCATTTGATATAGTGTCTTATCACGTCATTGAGATATCTCAAAGCGATTCACAGAATATACTGTAAAGTGAATTGACTGTATTTTGTGGGTGAATTTCTATATTTGCTGCAGTAGTTAGATCCTTAATGACCCATTTGATCTGATCCCTTGTGACATTTTGGAAAGGATTATGTTTTCACAATTAACACCCGTAAATTCACGTCATGCGGCATGTGCCTCACATCCTAGGTTACCTCACTGGATAGCTATTGTGAAAAAAAGTTGCTTTAATTGTGGATTGCATTGCTCCACACGAATTGAACTTGTTGTGTAAACGAGACTTAACGTTTTGTGCTTTGATCATCACATTGCTGTGTAAAGAGTTAACATTGAGCTAATCCACTGTGTAAAGAATGAATCAGCTGCCGTGAAACTCTTGAAATGACAAAGCGAGGGCCTGGTTGCCTGTAAAAATGAATGGTCAATGCAACCAATTGGAGTAACAATTAAAGCATATTTAAAAGAAGTGAAAATATGGCCATGTTTTAAATGGCCATTAATCATTTTAAATTTGTTTTACAGGATGTCATTTTTCCATACTTGCCTCCCTAAACTATTACCATCCATTAGTAATCCCCCTTTAAGGCTTTCTTCAATATAAACTATAGGTGGTAAGGGTGTTGGTTTAAGATTATAATTTGCCGTTAAGACTATAAAGCAATGATTTGAAATTTGAGCAAAAGACGTAACAGGCCAGGTTAGGTGGAGGTTAAATCTTATCCCTCACACCACATAAAATATGGCACATTGGCTCTATTAGTAGCACTCTTGTCTCTGAGTCAGAAGTTTCTGGGTTCAATACAATACAAAATGCAATCCAAAATTACATTAGTAAAGCACCTTTTGTGTCAGGAGGACGTTCCAAGGCGCTGAACAGTCAGGGATTAGGGATTAGGATTCAAGCCTCATGTTGGGACTTTGAACTCACAGTTGAGGCACACTATAATGCAGTAATTGTTGGAAGTGTCAGCTCTCAGATGTTAAACTGACTCGCAAGTCATCTTTTGAGTCATTTATTATCGGCCCATCAATTTTAGAATGCCGTGTGTACTCTTCACCAGTAAGTCAATCCCCTCTGTAAAGAGTCTTTTCTTCACATGAGGGAGAGGGGAATAGCAGGGTGATAGGAGGGAGAAAGGAATGGGCGAAGACACATGTGGAGTATAAACACTGGCATAGACTGGTTGGGTGAGTGGCCTGTTTCCATGGTGTACATTCTTTGTAAATCTTTGAAAGCAAATCTGTTTGCGAGGGAAGATTATGCCTTGGGAATGGAGTGCCCTATCTGTAGTTCTTCTCCAGAAAATCTTAAAACACTATGAAGATTTTTCAGTTTTATTGCACTCAATTCAGAGAACAAAATGCTGCACACAAATTACATTTTACAAAGGAAATCACAAAACGCAAACTTCACTGTGAAAGAAGAATTCCCTTTCTCTGTTAAAAGCTAGTGCAAATTTAAGCGTGATCACATTCAGCTACATTCGTCAGTTGTTAATCTGAAAATTTATAAAATATAGTTATATCATGTAAATGCATCATTGTAACCAAATATACTTTATAGAACTCTTTTTAAAATCTATAATACAAGTGGATATTTATGCTTTTGGATGGTTAAGAATGCCAGTGCTTTGAGTCACATTTAGGGAATGAAGTTTTTGGTATAAATGTGAAGTAGTGTCTTATAAGTTACTAAGAAACATCAATTGTCCAAAACTTCTTTTGCTGTTCCAGCAATCACAATTCTACAGAACAGCAACAAATAACCCACAAACAATTGTTTTAAGAATTAGATCTTTGGTACCACAGATATTTTCAAGGTGCTAAGAATGTTAGTGAGATCAGTTACAAAGGCCGTGGACCAGATCCCCCTGAGGTATAGTAAAAGATTTTTTCTACCATGATTCAGTGATTTTTTGCTGCAATTATTTCTATCAAGTCCCACAAGAGTCCTTTCTGCTTGTATTGCTCCATGTACTTTAATTGAATTACTCTGCACTTTGAAATTTACAATACATTAAATCAGCAAAGTCGAAACATTTAATTTTTCTCGCATAATTAAAACTGAAGAAGTTCTATGTTATTTACTCCAGCTGATTCAGCAGTCTTTCCAATTCTTTCTGAGCTTTCTGGTCCTGCAAAGAGCATCAGGTGGAGTGGGGGGGGGGAATAAAGATTGCACAAATTATTTTACAAAACCTCTCTTCAAGCTTGGATTGGTCATTCACACAAGACCTTACAAATTTAGCAAATTTCAAAAAAGGAAGCCACTGTGAAATAGTAAAACTAGCCAAAGAGTAAAAAGCATGCAAGTAAATTGTCTGAATTTTACTCATCATTCATCTGCTCCTAATAGTTTTATTAGGAGCATTACCCATTAGTTTTGTACTTTTGATATACATATATCAGTCCAGATCTCTGAGATTCACCTGTAACCTTATGGATGGTACTTGGTTTGACAATATAATGCAAGTATTTTAGAGCTTTGTCAAGATTATAATTGCTGCTGTTACTAATAATTCCCTGAAAAATTGTAATAGAATTTGGAACAAAAGGGTCATCAGACCATCAAGTTGCCACCATAGAACATATATGCATCAGTAACCTGGCTGACCAAATAAAAATTAAAATAATAAACTCTTCATAACTCCTTGATCTCCTGATTTTCTGCCTCAGTCTTGCAAAAAAAATAGGATACTGGAATGTTGGAAATCTGAAATAGGCCTGGAGGACTATCAGATCAAGATCAGCTCATCAGGCCTGATCCCTCATCAGACGTGGAATATTTGGGTGTGAAAAACTTTTAAAAAAATAGGATTGAGTAAAGCAAAGAGAACCTGCTCCAGAAAACAAGAATGGGAAGAGGCCAAACTTCACATCTTTCCACAAGGAGGTAACAAAATGAGCCATTAACAAAATGTTGTTGGTTGGTGGGGGTGAAGCTGAGCCTCCTCTTCGTGCAATTCTTAAACCTGTGTATCATCCCAGATGGACATTATGCTAACTGTTTAAGGCACACAGACACACACCAGGCGAATAATATCTGAGCTGGCGGAATGAGAGCATGATTAGAGACATCCTAATATCACAGGTATCAAAAGTAACTCTCCCAAAGGGGCAAGTCACCACCCACTCTCATTTTCCCCGTGGGAATCAGTCACTTGTGCATTGGCGAATGAAAAGAAGACTGATACTGCTTGCAAACTGTTGAAGTGACTTGATTTTCAGATCACTAAGTCTGGAAGAGAACTTCCCCTGGTAAGTGGATGAGTGGCACTTTCCAAACAGGAGCACACTCTGAAACGAAAATGTGAGGTGACTGAAACATGGGACTATCCAGGTTTCAAGGAAGAGGAAAAAATACGGAATCAAAAAATCATGGGTTAGAGAATATTGTGCCTTTTGATAGTTCATTTGTTTTACTCACTGATGTATCAGCAGAGAGGATGGAAATATGGTTGAATATATCTTGTTATCCCAGAAAAGGAGGAATAGAGCAATGTATGTGGATTCAGCTGGGTAATTGCAGCAGTACTCTAATGCACATTCTCCACAACTATACCATACATTCTCTGGGATTAGATAAGAAAGATGCATCCTCTGTGGAGAGAGTGCACCTCCCATACCAGACAAAAAGCAATTTCCATGCATATGTGAAATTCAGTACTTTGGTTTGGATACTCTTAATGATGGATGTCCTCGTATATCACATGCATGACTGAGCCAGAAATACCTATAATCTGTTGCATTCAGTTTCTGTCTGGGAGGTGGAAGAGAACAATTAAAATAAATCTCTAGAGTGCTTGTCATTTATCTCATTGCTGTTTGTGGGATGTGGTGGCAAAGAAGGGCTGATGTGTTTGCCTATGTAAGAGTCCCAACAACATTTCAAAACAAAGTATTGTGTGAAGGCATTGCATCAAAGGGGTCAACATTAAATGCAAGTATCGTTTTGGTACCTCAGCAGAAACTACAGGAAATGTTGCTGCATTATCACACCATTGTTTTGCTTTGATGTTCTGTCCTTGTTCTCTGTAACACTAAAAAGTGAAAAGGCATTTCTACATATTTTATTGAACAGCTTGAAAAATCACAGCACACATGACTTGTTCTTAAAATAGTGATAATATTTCTAAAGTGTAATATATATAGCTTACCTTTGCTAAACAGATGCAATTATACATGGAGTAATGTGGCTGTAGTTCCTCAACCTGGAACATCAGAGGCAAATTTAATATATAGCAAGGAATATTCATTTCTATTCCAGAATATAAGCAACTTGCCATATCGTGCAATTAACAGTGCTCAATCTACATTAACGTCTGTTAATTCTACATAAATATTTTACAGAACTAATCCAGGAAAACTTTTATAGTAATTGTATAACATTTTCAATTTGTGTGTGATGAAAATGTGTTACTGATTGTACAATTTGGATCCCCTATCTCATTGGTTTCTTGGCAATAAAGATGCAATAATGGAAGGCACCAGAACTGTACATGGCCAATATCTGCAGTGGCTCTGAGACAGAAGTCAAGTCAGGCTGCAATGTCAGGAATTTAGTTTAGCTGTATGCATGGTGTTCTGGATTGTAATGTTAATGAACTGGAACTGTACAAGTAGGTGCAGATTACAGATGGACAGTCACACAAGCACATATCACACAAACACAAATTATCCAAACTGTTTTGATATCCACTGAGAGGCTGGTCTCAGTTCATGCAGATATTCAGCTCTGCATAAATATATAAACCGCCAACTATATCAATCAAATTCTTCCCCTGGTTGAGTAACTGAACTGGAGACCAAGCAAGATATTTAGACTATAAATAACCCTGAATTGCATTCCACACAACCTGAATTGCATTTGGCACAAGCTGAATTGCATTACCTTGAGGAAACATCTCAAAGCTTCCCCTATGGATGAATTTGGTGGGTCTCCGAAGAGTGTAGCAGCTATATTTCTTTCAAACCATGACAACTGAGAGACCTGAAAGCAAATGTGTCAAATGTCTTCAGCAAGTACAGCGATGCCTCAATTCAGTGGGGCAAATCTCAACGAATGTCATACCATTACAATGCACAGAAAAGTGTCAATTTTGGAAAAAGAGAGGTACATTTCTTATACAATAACATTCAGGAAAACTATATTTATAAAGAGGAATTGAGTTCTATTTTACAACTGTTGTTTTAAATGCTTTCAAAGTACTGCATCTCATTTGCTTTAAGCATGGTGATGGACTTCCACATGTTGGGACACCTGGTTGACCAAAATAATTCTATGTAATTCTTTGTAAAGGTAGTTTCATTAAAAACTATGTTTTCTTTACATTTCGCTCTGATCTTTTTTGCCCCCTTCCTTTTTGTTCCAACATTACGTTTGCCACATCTTCTTTGTATGCAACAGTGCCCCACAGGTTTAGTGCAAGATGCTTTGTACTCCGTGACTAATTCAATAGCTCAAGTTATTTTTTTAATTCTATTAACTTTGTGGACTCACCAGGCAAATCTCAGCTGGGCCACTAGATGGGAGGGCTGCAGAGCAGCCTTATCACATAATTACAGTAATTATTTATACTCTTTACAGTGAATACCGTCAAGTGTAGGGACAGTTTTTGTAGGTAGACACAGCAGCCATTTTGCACACAGAAAGGACCCACAAACTGACATGAAGCAAACGGCCAACCTTATCTGGAGGATTGCTCACCAAGTCACCGGGAGAAACTGCCCTCTCTTTGTGAATACCATCATTAACAACAACAACTAGATTTAATTTATAGAGCACCTTTCACGTCGGGAGGACGTCCCAAGGCGCTGGACAGTTGGGTCGGGATCCGAGCAGGGGGGAAATGGTCAGGGTGAGGGGAGGGAAGGGAGGGAACGAGGAGGGGGTAGAGAGTCGAGAGGGGAGCTGAAGGCACGGTCAAAGAGAAAGGTTTTGAGACCGGCCTTGAAGGAGGAAAGGGAGGAAGCGGCGAAGGCACTGGGGGATAGAGTTCCAGAGCCTCGGGGCTGAGAGGCTGAAGGCCCGGCCACCGATGGTAGGGCGGTTAGGGCGGGAGATGTAGAGCAGACCGGAGCCAGAGGAACGGAGGATATGGGCAGGTAGGTTGGGGGATAGTAGGTTGGAGAGGTAGGAGGGAGCAAGGCCGTGAATGGCCTTGTAGGTGAGAATGAGGATCTTGAATTCGATCCTCTGGGGGATGGGGAGCCAGTGGAGGTGAGCGAGGGTGGGAATGATGTGGTCGCGAAGCCTGGTGCGGGACAGTACACGAGCTGCAGAGTTCTGAATGACCTGCAGCTTGTGGAGGGAGGTGCCGGGAAGGCCGGCGAGGAGAGAGTTCCCATAGTCCAGCCTTGAGGTGATAAAGGCGTGGACCAGAGTTTCAGCAGCGTGAGGGGTGAGGTAGTGCCGTAGTCTGGCGATATTCCAGAGGTGATGGAAGGCGGTGCCAGTTGTGGCGCGGATACGAGGAAGAAAGAACAGCTCAGGGTCGAACAGAACAGAATTAAATCACATCATGGAATCTGACAGCTACCTGAAGAACAGGCTGCCTGGCTTGTCACTCCCCAGAGGGTAGAGTTTAAACTCTTGTCCTCACTTTTAAAGCCCTCATGCTCTTGTCCCTCCTTATATCTGTAACCTGCAAAAACCTTACCATTCTGCCCGCTTCCACCGCTCACCGGCGCTTTCCTGCTCCATGTTCCACGTCCTGCCTGCTCCACCATTGGCAGTTGGGCCTTCAGCTTTTTGTTCCCACCCTCTGGAACGCAATCCTGGAGTCCATTCGCCTCGCCCCCTCCCTTGCCTCTTTCAAGGCCCATCTCAATACCTTCCTCTTTAACCGCATCTTTGGTCATCCTCTCACCCCCACCCCCCTTGCCCTCCACCTGTCTCAACTCCAATACCCAGCTTCGGTGCAGACCACTCTTGACTGCCTAGCTCCTTAGGATGTCCTCCCAACGTAATATAAATGCAATTTGTTGTTGCTGGTGTCAGTTCAGCGTCTCATCTGAAGGACATCTCCATCAATTCAGCGCTCCTCCAAGATTGCACTGAAGTCTGAACTGAGACTGTGAGCTCAGATTTCAACATGGGGCTGGAGGTGAAAGTATTACCAACTCAGCTAAGATGACCAGCCCATGTTAAGATTGGAGAAACTGTCAGGAAAGATCTCAGTTAGAGAAGATCACCATCCACTGTATAGCTTCAGCATGACTTCTGGGCATCTGAATGTAACTGATTTGGTAATGTACTCTGGCAGCCTAGCTTCAATGCTTATTGATGCCTCACACTGTTTGGACATGGTGAAAGATGAGTGAAACTACCTCGCTTTCAATATACCCCGAGGCAAGTTCTATCCCAGCCATGAGTCTCCACTTTGTACTTCCTATGTACATCACCATTGAACTTCATTTGGCAGCAATCAGCCCAGGTGCATACCTTGTTGAACAGAATAGAGTGCAGGGCTGTAGGCTAGAAAGAACTTTGGAAAGGAAAGGAAACATTGGGAAGACTTGCTATGGGGGAAAAGGTGCGGGGGGAGGACATGGAACAGGCCAGTGCCTGCCAAAATGGGGAGGGGGGGGTAGAAAGTGAGAGAAATCATTTCACTATCTTTCCCCAGTGATCAGAGAAACAACTTTTGTTGAAAAAAGGTAACTCAAATTCATCAACTTACTTCATAGCACCATCTTCCCAGCAGGTAGTATAGCTGAGGATCTTGTGGCCTCAGTTCAATTGCTTTGTCTATATGTTCCTATGGATTGAAATGTCAAGAATGAATTTAGCAAATGTGAGCTTATTAGTATAGAATACCACAATGTGTAATGGAAATCTAACAAGGGTAAAAATAAAGACATGCACTATTTCAGAAAACACTGTGCTACTCCATTTTCTGAATGCAACATTTCTGGACAACCTTTAACCCTGGGGTTTTAAAATATGTACAGCAAATTGTATTGTATTTCTTTTCAATCCATTCCCAGTGGCCTATTTGGGTTCTCGCATTTCAAGACAGTAATTTATCCGACCAGGAATGCAACCCACTTTTTTGGGGGGATTTGACTTTGTAATTCTGATTTCATATTTGACGGCTTTATATTTGCACCTATTGTGGTCATAATACAGCTCAGAATCAACACACTTCATATTTGTGCTTGTAATTCGTCTGAACATTATTCTACATTTGTAAAGAACTACTGGAAATGGCAACTGTCGATTTACCAACTGACAGTAGCATTAAGTGAATCAGACAAAAATCAAAAAGAGGGCTCTATAAATTCAAGTAGCCAAGTTGAAGCTTAGAATACATACTGCATACGGTACAAAACCATTTGTTGTTATACAGTATCACTGCAGATTGAAACAAATATGAGAAAACTATGAGAACATTTCTGTATGAACAAGTACAATTCATCTCATGATGGAAACATAGGCGTAAATCCAAGAAGTTCCCTCAGGCTGTTCACCAATCGGAAACTCAGAGCTTAGCAAAGAGAATATTTAAGTAGTGAGTATTATAGCAGTGCAGCTGATTAGCAAGACTGCCCAATTTACCTTGAATAGATAGCCATTCTTGATTTTGTTTTGAATACTTTCACTCATTGAAAGATAGCCGCAGAGAACTGCAAACCTACAAATAAGCCAAACAGAAGTGAAACATTCGTACATGTTCGACCAAGGGCTGTTGGCAGAAAAGCACAGACACGTTAATGCTTTGGTAATTGGATACAGAGAATATTGAAAAAAAATTAAAGTAATGACAATTCAAACCTCTGCAGCACCTCCCAAGCAATATATTTAATCTGAATTGTCTATTGATCTAAATTGAATCATGCAATTCATTAGAACTCGTGAATCTACGTTTTTTTTTAAAAATTGCAATTCCCTTTATCCCATTCACCCGTCAGCAGTTGCAATCTTCTCTGTACATAATTTCAATTGATGCCGACACCCATTTATGTTAACAAAGTTAGGTCAAAACTTACAGAACCAGAGCTTATTTTGTAAGTACTTACACAATATTGGATAAAAATTCTACATCAGACATTGTGAGAGAAACCACCCAAATTCTAGTCAATGAAAAGACCCTTCCTGGTCCATCCCACATTTTGTCTCAGTCCCAAAAGACAGCAATTACACATTCCTACTATGAGCACTGAAGTTATCGAATAATGGGGGTGGGGGGGGGTGTGCTCCTTGGTGACAAAACAGCCACAACAGCCTGTAATAAGTTTGCTATCTCCCATTCATTCTCTTTTTTAACCCTCTCCTTTAGGATTAACGTCATCCCACCTTCCCCAACTACCCTCTTATTTTTCGGGGGAGGTGGGGGGTGTTATGTTTTGCATTTGGACTATATCTCTTTTCAGGTCTTTCTTAGCTCCCTTGATCTCTGTTAGACCTTGTTCTGTACTGTCTTGTATTCAGGCCCTTCCTTTCTCCTTGTAAATCTTCCCTTTTCGACTTAATTTCTTTATTTTCCTGTTGATCTATTTTGAGTGTTTTTGCCCTGCCACAATGCGGTAGGTGCTAGTCCAGCATGGACTGCAGAATGTTTTTGAAAGATATCTGTTGATCTTAAGTAGAATCATGCAATTCATTAGAACTTGTGAATCCACCTTTTTTTAAAAAAATGCACTTCCCTTTCTCCCATTCATCCGTCAGCGATTGCCATCTTCTCTGTACATAATTTGAATTGATGCCGATACCCATTTATTGGGATTCTTCCTCTTATGTTATCCTCAACTGATTTGTCCTCGAGTAGCCCATCATAATCCATGTCACTTAGCTGACATAAGAACATTAAGAACATAAGAAATAGGAGCAGAAATATACCATTCGGCCCCTCGAGCCTGCCCCGCCATTCAATAAGATCATGGCTGATCTATTCTAACTCCACCTACCCGCCTTATCCTCATATCCTTTTATCCACAAGAAATCTATCAATCTCAGTCTTGAATATGTTCAAGGACTGAGCATCTACAGCCCTTTGAGGTAGAGAATTCCATAAATTTACTACCCTCTGAGTGAAGAAGATTTGCAGTAAGACTTTCCTATTCTTATATTCTAACCCTTTTGCAACAAATGCCAACATACCGTTAGCCTTCCTAACTGCTTGCTTTACCTGAAAACTAACTTTTTGTGACTGGTGTACAAGGACACCCAATTCCTTCTGAACGCTAACACTATCTAGTCTCTCCCCTTCTAAAAAATAATCTGCTCTACTGGTTTTGCCACTTAGGTGGATGACCTCACACTTCCCTACATTATACTTCATCTGCCACCTATTTGCCCACTCACCTATCCTATCTATATCTCGTTGCATTTTTTTTAATGTCATCCTCTGTGTTTACTCTCCCTCTTAGTTTAGTGTCATCCGCAAATTTGGATATATTAAGTTCGATGTCCTCATCTAGATCGTTGATGTAGATTGTAAATAGTTGAGGCCCAAGCACTGATCCTTGTGGCACTCCACTGGTCACATCCCGCCAATTTGAGAAGGACCCGTTTACCCCTACTCTTTATTTTCTTCCTGTTAGCCATTCTTCAATCCATGCTAATATATTCCCCTTAATTCCATGGGCCCTAATCTTGTGGATCAACCTTTTATGCGGCACCTTATCAAATGCCTGTCTAATCATATTGTGATCCTCTAAGTATCCCACTACAACATCCTTAATTAAGGATTCTAGAATTTTCCCTACCACCGATGTCAGACTAACTGGTCTATAGTTCCCCATCTTTTCTCTCCCACCCTTCTTAAATAGTGGTGTGATGTTTGCGTTCTTCCAATCAATGGGAACCGTTCCAGAATCCAAAGAATTTTGGAAGATTAGACACAAGGCCTCCACTATCTCATGAGCTACCTCTTTTAAAACCCTAGGAGGCAAACCATCAGGTACAGGGGATTTGTCACTTTTTAATGCCAACAATTTCCCTAGCACCAATTCTTTGCTAATGTAAATTTCCCTAAGTTGCTCCCTGTCATTAGCCCCTTGGTTCATCTCTATATCTGGTAAACTTCTTGTGTCTTCTAACGTGAAGACAGAAGCAAAGTATTTACAACAACAACAAGATGGCATTTATAGAGCGTCTTTCACGTCGGGAGGACGTGCCAAGGCCCATGTCCCAACTGGACAGTTAGGTCAGGACCCGAGCAGGGGGGAAATGGTCAGGGGGAGGGAAGGGAGGGAGCGAGGAGGGGGTAGAGAGTCGAGAGGGGAGGTGAAGGCATGGTTGAAGAAAGGTCTTGAGACCTCCATTTATTTAGGGACTCTGCCATATCCTTATCCCCCATGTCTCTGCCTATAATGGGCTCACATTTTCTTTGCTGGCCTATTCCATTTAATGCATTTATAAAAACTCTTACAATCTGCCTTAATGTTCCTAGCTAGAAATATTACTCATTCTCCACATACCCCTGACGTTTGCCTGTCTAAAGTTGTACTAGAGATTAGTTACATGATTGTGTCGTTTTCCAAGACAAAATGATTGTTGTTGAGCTATTGTGGTCACTATCCCACACTCATTAAAAGAGAATTTAATTTCCACACAAAAGAATAAACTGGGCAGTCATCTTCACTGTTTACCGGCCATTCAAAATGCTTTACTTATATAAAACTTGTGGTCAGTAAAAATGAATTTAGGTGAGATGCATGGCTTTCTCAGTGAGGAATGTTGGTTGCATTATAGAATAAATTTAGAATAAGTCACATATTTATGTGCTTAGTTTCATACAGTGTTTGTGTTTTCCATATAAAGTAAATAGAATTGAATCTTCAGCATTGCCACTCCAGCTCTCAAGCAGTTTTCTAGGTTTCTTGCCTGCAGTGTCACACTTGCACCAGCAGAGGGAGAGTTTTACCAACCTCGATGGATCTTCAAGTGGAGGTAAAAGTTGCCTGTGGGGTTTCTGGAAGGAGGGGAGAAGGTGGGACTCAGCAATAACTTTAGAAGTTTTCCTCGAAGTATCACTCTTTTTGAAAAATAATAGAACAAGCTCTGTTCTGACCTGTTTACAAGCTTGCTGTTAAAAATATGCAATGCTTTGGATTTCTGCCAGGCTTCGAAGCATTGGTACAATTGAAGAATCTAAAAAAGTTTATAATAATCCTAGAATTTGTATAGAGCCTTATCACGCTGTTGCGATTTCTCAAAGTGCTACACAGGATATACTGTAGTGACTGTTTAGTGACTATTTTGTTTAATGATTATTTATAGGTGAACTGTTGAAACACAATGGTGATGTGTTTCAAATGCCTCTAATATTACATTATTGTCCCAAGCGGACAAGAGCTACTTTTCTGCTTGTGGTCAGTAATTTGACTTAAGTGAAACACACTTATCTTTCTAGATTTAGAAGATAAAAAACCTAAAGGTTATTTATATTGGTTTAATTAATTTATATTGGTTTAGTGTGAGAAATATTTGGCCGTGATATTTTAATTCAATGGAATAATCTCCTGGAGTGCTCAGTGGTAAAGGTACAGCTAGGGTTCAAATAAGTATATGGAGTCTGAATTTTCCTGGTTTAATTCCTGGCCTGTACTGAATCAGCTGATCTCAGCAGGGGTTCCACGCAGTCTCAGATATACACGCACAAGGCAGCAATACCCATGCATGAAGCATTTTTCCATTTTTCCATATTGTATAGCAGTGTTATAAAATACATTTATTACATTACAGTAAGAACAATTTTAAATTAAACTGAATAACAACATTGATTGTTCGGTTGTTCCATTTCCCTACGTCTGATCTCGTTTCATTTACCTCTGTAATCCTAGTTTTTGATATTGCGCCTTTCATATCAGGAGGGCATCTCAATAGATTTCATAGGATTTGTTGTAGTGTAATGATTGTGTATTTTGTAATTTGTAGACAAACACACTTCACTGTGTCTTACTTACTTAAAAAAGCCTAGTTTTAAAACTGAGCTAATTTTCAACCTTCATTCTTCTTTCTCCTGGTTCCCACTGTCTATCTTGCTAGATACATGCAATTTTGTTTTCAAAAATGTTTAATTGGCTGAAAACAACTCCTGGATTTGGACTGATAGCTATTATAAAGCCAAATGCATGAAGATTTGATCACAGATGTGACCTGGTCTATCTGACGTTTATAACTGCATCAAAACAGGAAAAGATCTTGACAGCTAAGTAAAGCTTGTTGGCAGCTCACAGCGAAAGCATTCCTGGACCCGTAAACACGTCCATGGTGTGAATGTTTAATAGATAGCTATAAGAGCAGGAGGATTGGTTGATTTCAAGTGATTGCAAGGCATACTAACAGCTCCCGTACGCTTATAAAATGAGGCTCCCAATGGAGGGGATGCGTCCTTTTGGAGCCATTTAATCTCATATTAGAATAACATTCTGAAATCAGATTTAAGTAACCAATATATATCAGAAAGTGTTGAGATAGATCAGGGTGGTCCAACCTTTTGGTTGCCATGGGCCACATTCTCTATTTGAGAAAGGTCCGCGGGCTGCATGAGCAATATTTTGTGTTTCCCTTCCAGAAACATAACAACGTTCACACAGCACCTTTTTCATGTTGAAAGGACATCTCAAAGTGCACAACACTGTCGGCTGAGCACCTGAGCTGTGGGTGGGAGCTAAGAGAGGTAGGAAG